GGCTCCTCAGGGCCCTCATCGCGCTTGGGGAGCTGCCAATGCTTTTCTCGAGGCCAGCGACAGAGCAGCACGGCATTCGGGGCGGCCCGAGGTCAAGTACGTTCATTTTCCCAGACGAGCTGGGTGCGCCACCAGCGCCGGCCACAGAAGCTGACTCCCAGCACCCGTTGCCCAACCATCCAACGGCTGGGCGACGCACCCAGGGCAGTCCTGGACGAGACGGCGCCAGACACGAAACAGGTTCAGGGTCCACATCCGCCCCATGGACAGAGATCAGGCGCCCATGGTCTACAGAACCGAGCAGCAGCACGAGATGGAGCATCAGTCCGACGCCCCCGGCACGCAGCGACACCATGGCAGAGCAGCGCCAGAGCAATATCAAATTGATCGAAGCGGAGCTGAAGCCGATTCAGATGCAGCATCAGCCAAGCGAGACAGAAGACACCCAGCAAGCCGAACGAAGCAAGAAAATAGTCGAATGTGCATTTGGACTTCCGCAGCCGCTGGCTCGAGCGAGGCAAGGAGGACAGCCTTCATTGCACGGCCCATATCCTCGGCCTCCGACGGCTCGCGCCAGCTCAGAAGGGCGCCATCCGCAAGCACCCAAATCTTTCATCGGGCACGACGGCGCTTCGCCCGGATGACGATTGCAGCGCGGGCCCCCACGATCCCCGCGCGCAACGCGACGGTGAGCCTCGGGTACCAGAAGCGCATCATCTCGAGGAGGACCTTCATGACTGACGCGGATGGGGATCGCCCAGATGACGAAGGTGGAGCCGCGCGCGGAGCTGCCGACCGTTGGAGCGGGCACCTCGGACAACGAGACGCGCATGGCCCTGCGAAAGAGAATTCGAGCAGGCAGACCGCCCGAGGATGCCATGCAACAGGAAGGCTCGGCGCGGGGGCAGCTAGCTTCGAGTTCAGCAAGTTTCGAAAGCCATCCTGCGTCGTTTTCTGCCAGGCTGCGGGCGTCGCAACCGAGGGGGTGGTAGCCGCCCTGAAACTCGCGATCCAGGCGCGGGGCCAGACAGAAGGACTCCTGCCGCCTCCTCGAAGTCCTCGCTGGCTTCGGGCCCGTCTGCGGGCCCTCCGCCGCAGGCACCTCCAAGCAGGCACCATGCGACAGGGGGGGCTCCAGGCCAAGAACTGAGACGAGGGCCACCGTGCACGTCATCTCACATGACTGGACGGGAAAAGCCGACGCTCGGGCCAGAGGCTGGCGGCACCGACACGGACAGCAGTTACGACAGCGATCCCACTTCTGGAGCCGGATGGGACCCCGAGGATCTGGGAGGACAGCAAGGGCGAGGAGACCGAGTGGGTCGAGTAGGACTCGAGCGAAAGCGACCAGGACAAGCAGCCGATGGAACACCTCGACCAATGCTTCCACATGGCCAGGCGACGCGGCACCTCCGACGCGGAGTGAAGAAGCGCGCGCTGAGCGGGCTATTTCATGCGTCTCGCATCGAATCTCGGCAAGGCGGGCGGCCTCAACCTCGCGGGCTTCGCAGCAGGCAGCCAGTCGGAGCCCGAACCCCGGGGGCCGAGGCAGCGCCTCGCGGCCGACGTGGACGGCGTCGCCAAGATAACTTCGTCGAGGCGCGGGCCGGCAAGGCCGGACTCGCGAAGCTGCTCGCCGAGGCTTTCGAGCGGGGCAGCCTTGACATCGGGCACGGCGACGACGTCAAGAAGCCGGACACCGCGCCGGAGCTCATGGGCTTCACCGAGCTGGAGAAGCGGGGCTGCGCGGTGCTGGAGCCATCTGGCCGGCTCTGGAGCCACACGCAGAGCCTAGTTTGGAAGGGGGAAGCAGCAGCGCCCACGGCGGGCTGCTAGCAGAAGCTACCAACGCTGAGGCTCGCGCAGAAGATCCCCACGACGCAGCACGAGGGCGCCCGAGCGGCGGTGCTCGAGCACCCCTGGCCAGGCGCGGTCGAGTTGCAGACGGACACGCGCGCGCACGGCTCGAGGTGCAACCACGCCGGCAGGGCAGTCAAGAAGCCCGCGATGATCTTCGCGACCCACGCCGCCTTCGAGAAGCACTGCGTCTTGCGGCGCACCCAGGACCACGAGCACGAGGAGCTGAAGGGCACGCCGAAGGGCCTCAACTGGAGCCAGGTCTACACCGACGCCTTGACGCGCCACATCGTCGACGCATCCCAGGAGGTGTCGAACCAGAGCCACAAGGCCATGGCGGCGGACATCGATGATGACGACGAGAGGAAGAGCCGATGGAGACAAGGGCCACCACGTTTGAAGAAAAGGCTGGAGTTCTACCATTGGAAGTACGAGCTCAACCCAGACGCCTTGGGCGCCCCTCGAACGACGACCCGGCCAGGAACCTGAGGCTCAACGGCGCGGATGATGCTCTGGTTCGCGGCGCCACGCACTCGCGCGGCAGCACGCGCATCACCAGCCAGCGGCTTCAACGACGAGGTGGGCATCGACGGCCGCTTCCTACGCAACGCGCACTGGGAGCCCTACCTCTCCGCACCCGTCGTCGAGGCCCCCACGACGTACCACGTCGCGCGCTGCCCAAAGACTCGGAAGCCAGCCACCGTCGCACAGGTTTTCCGACAGGCGCGGCTTGCGGGGCCGCCGCGGGCGGCGAGCCTCGACCCGGACGGCGTATTCTACATGGAGCTTCAGGAGGCCATAAGCATGATGGGTACTTTGGTCAAGGCAGCGGCCGAGCAGTCGCAGCGGCAGAAGGGCCGCGCCGAGCGACGCGGCGACCGCCCCGAGTTCATGATCAACCGCGCCGTCGAGCACAAGGCGGTCAAGGACCGCGGACATGGAGACCGCCGTCTGGGAGACCTGCCTGGCAAAAGACGACATGCGACGGTTATGGAGTTTCTCCCCGTCGCAGTGGGCGCACGGCTGCTCGCTTGCCACGGCGGCCGACCTAGTCGATAGGCCTGAGCAGATCGCAGAGCTCAGTATGTATCACGTGTCCACGGAGCTTGCAAGGAGGACGGCTCTCCATGCTGCTGCGCGGACGGCATGCGCGGGGCTGCAAGATAGCCAGGCGCTCCGTCGAGCGCTTATGCGGAAGCCGAGGGTCGCCCGCGCCAACAACCAGAAAGGGGACCCGGCGTTCTATTGGCGCCTGCGCACAGGGCCAAGCTCCACGAGTGCCGAGACCCAGCGATCGTCATCGGCCCAGCGCGCGCGTGTCCAAATTCTGGCTCTCCCATGTCGCTGGGACAACACAAGTTTGCCACGAGCAGCTTCGACCCGCTGAGGGCGAGGAGATCCAGCGGCCCGGCTACGCCGACGGCCCGAACATTGACGAGCTGAACGAGCTGCTCCGCAAGGGGGAGGGAAGACCAGCCCGAGTTCAAAGACGACCGAGGACGCGGGCCACGCGAAGAAAGTGCCCAACCCCTGCAGCGGAGGCAACGCCAAGACGGGGGGGCGCCTTCCAGGTCCGCGCGGCGGAGGAGCTTGCCGAGGATATCCGGCGCACCGACGACGACGAGCCGCGCGACTTGAGTTATTCGAAGGACGTTTGCCCAGCTGCCGCGGCCGAGTGCCCAGAAGAACAGCCGCCTCGCAAGCATCAGGCTTCATCAGCATCATCATCATCATCATCATCATCATCATCATCATCATCATCGCAAGTGGAACCTCCATCGGCGGCCTCGGCGCCATCTCCATCGACAGCGCCAGCTCAGCCAAGGACTCCAGCGCGAGGAGCCCCACGCAATCGACATGAGTTCCTGAGGCGGCGGGCGGCACTCCAAGCCCGCCGGAACCAAGCGTTCCAGCCATTCCCCGCGGGCCCGCTACATCACCCAGGAGACCACCTCGAACGCCCAGTTCACTTCGCAAAGTTCATGGTCTCATCGCGAAGCGGAGCTGAAACGCAACTCGGCTGCAGCGCCAGGCATTCAAGAAGGAGGCTCTTCGGGCGAGAACCCCCGCTAGTGGGCGCCCCGTCTACCGCGAGGCGGCTGCGATGCAGTGGAAGCAATGGGCAAGTCATGACGCCGTCGTGTCCCTCTCCGTCGAGGACAGCCAGCGAAAACGTGAGCGAGTCCTTACGAGCCGCACCCTCATGCCTCGGCTTCTGCACCGCAACAAGACTGCCGAAGTGAGGAGCGCGCCTCCCCAGCCGAAGGCCTGGCTGTGCAGCGGCGGACACAACGATGCATATTACACGATGGGGATTCGCACGGACACCCCGACAATCTCGAGGCACTCGGCGCTCACACCCCTGGCAGTGGCCGCGGCGCACGACTTCGACATCGTGGCCAGCAACATCGAGCGCGCCTTCATGCAAGGCGAGGAGCACGGACGTGCCGAGGAGCTCTACATGTCACAGCCCAAGGAGGGCCTGCCCGACATGGGCCCTCGCTGCCTACTGAAGGTCAAGAAAAGCATCTTCGGGCTCAGGGACGCACCGAGGCTGCGGTGGCGACGTCTCCGCCGAGGATTAGTCGAGGTGGACCTGAAAGACGGCAACGACGAGGTAGTCATGATGATGCAGTCTCGGCTCGACCAGACCGCGTTCCGCGGCTTCGACGAGGACGGCAGGCTATGCATCCCAGATTACGTGCATGCGGACAACCTCTTCGCGGGTGCCAAGTCGCACGTGCTGCGGCAAGGAGTTCGAGAACTGCTCCATTTGGGCGAGTGGTGCCACGTGCCCGTGGCGTTATGTGGCCAGCTGGTCCAGACGGACCCGGACTGGTGGCTTCCCCCTCGGCCAGTCCACCTTCATCGAGGGCACGCTGGAGCTGGTCGAGATCGACGAGGGCCCAAAATGGGATCTGAGCCTGAAGTGCAATGCCACGAGATAGCGGAATCCAGAGTACGATCTGGAGTCCAGGCTGGCCAGCTCGTCAGATGAGGCCTGATGTTGCATGCACAGGCAGAACGCCCCTTGTGCATCCAGGATCTGCTGGTTATCAACGAGGCCATAGCCGCGTTGCACAGCACGGCCCACGACAAGTTCCACATATTCCAAATTGGATGTGGGATCCCCGCTGCGCATCATGGCGTACTACGATGCGGCTTGCGGGAACGCTTTGACAGAGGACGAGGCTGTGCAGCGGATCCCGCAGGGCGAGAAGGTGCACTCCCAGGCGGGCTACCTCGTTTATCTCTGCGAGCGTGCCGTGGCGGAAGGTCGGCCCGGCAAAGAGATCTTGGTTGATTGGAGAAGCCACACATGACCGCGAGTGGCTCGAAGCACATTCGCGGCCGAGACCCAAAGTTGCACGGAGGCCTTTGACTCAGCAGAGCTCGCGCGTGCTATCAGAATCGATATGACGTATGCGGACCTAAGCGCGACCAACCGCGAGATGTTCGGCAACAGACGCATGTTGCCCATCACATGCGCGATCGACTGCAAGTCTCTTTACGATACCCTACACCGGAGGCCGCAAGCTACCTCACGAGGAACGACTGTTCGAGGATTTGGCGTGGCTACGAGAGGCCATGCAAGTGGAAGAAGCAGTGGAACCACGTGAGAGCATGAGCCTGACGGACGTGCCCATGGGGTGGGTCCCCCCCGACTATATGTTGGCAGATGGTTTGACCAAGACAATGGATGTGTCTGGACAGTTTAGCCGCTTCAACACAGCCGTCCTTGCACCGATTTGATGCCGTTGGCTTGGTCCACTCCGTCCTCCCCAGCAGTGGGGGCCTCTCGGCCTCGGCCACAGTTTTGACAGGCCTGGCGACGCGGCCGCACGCTGTCCACCCCGACAGCGAGCGACCGTCCCAGCCCTACCGACACTCATTTCCTTTTGCACCCATTAGGGGCCCCAAGTCTTGGCGTGCGCTGTCCACCCTGGCAGCGCATGGCCCTTCGGCCTCAGCCGCAATTTTGATTCTGGCACGTCCTTTCTCTGCCCGCGACTGGCAGCCCGAGGTGTGACAGCAGCCTGGACCTGCCATCGTGGGCAGCGCCAGGCGCCCGCGCAGGACAGTGCGCGGACCGCTGCCTTTCAGCCGCCGGCGCCAGCGCCGGCGCTGCCGCCCCGCCTGCGGGGATCTCCCCACAGGCGGGGCGCTCCTCCTCCCCGCCCTCTCCCCCGCCTCCCCCTCCGATCGCTTTCCCCCCTCCCTCGCGCGCCGCCTTGGCGCACACAGAGCCGCTGGCAGCCTTCCCTTGCGGTCGGGAAGTTGGGCCTGGTCGCGCCGCCTGATCCCCTCCGCTATCCCAGCATTTTGCCGGGGGCAGCCCCACCTGGACTGCGATGTACTTGCCGCACCTTGTCAGCGCCACCCACCTGGGCGGCTGTGGTCCTCGCCCGTTGTCCTAGCACCTCGCGTACTTGCAGTACCCGCACTCGGCCCCGCTTGCGCCCATGGGTGGCGCGGCGCTGCGGCCCGGCAGGTGCTATGGTCCCCGCCGGCGGGGCTGGCCGCGCCAGCATGCTCGGGTGCCGACCCGTCCGCCCCTGAGCGGCCTCCTCTCCCCACCCCACCCCCGCGGCCGCCTTGCCTCCCCGTTTTCCCCTCGCGCACGCTGGTCAAGTCGCTTTACGGCACCCCCGTCTAGCTCCTCGCTGGCGCAGCCAACTCTGCCTCGCCGCCGACGGAAAAAGTTCGCCGATATGCCAGGCGAAATCTTGATTCCTGTGCCTTGCTAGCACAGAATACGGGCTCGCATGGGACAGCGGCGAACATGCAATAGGGGAAAAGAAAGTGAGCAAGTCTTCACACGATGTCCCAGGCGAAACTTTGATGTTTAGACCATCCACCTAACTTGTTTGTTTTTCTTCGCCGGACCCTCTCTGGTCCTGGGAGTCCCGAGCCCACAAGAGAAATCAATACGTGACCTGGGGATTCCCAGGCCCAGAGAAAGTCTGGATACAAAATTGTTTAGTATGTTCGGGTAATCAAGGGTTTCGCCTGAGATGTCGTTCCCCCAAGTGCTTGTTTTGTATTGTTTCTACCATGTCCTAGGCGAAACCATGATTTCTATGCTATCTCCATCTCTTGTGATGTTTTGTTTCGCCTGATACATAAGCGAAACGGCAAGACGGCGAAGCGTTGGTTTCTAGAAAATGCTCCAGGTGTTTTTGCTTTTCTGCTCGCCATGCTTTCTCTGGATCTGGGATTCCCGAGTCGACCAAAAAACAAGCAGAGAATCCGCCACAGAGGGAATCAATCAAGTGCATCCTCCACCTCGGGACTCAGACAAAAAAGATGTACGCCGTACGTACCCACATGTCGATCAGTGTATTCTCCACACGAGCTGCAACGTCAAATCCTCCACATGAGAAGTTCAACTGTACATCGTCGACGTAACGATATAAACACACAGTCGGAGAAGGTGGAGGAGGGGCAAGATCATGAGGTGGAGGAGATGTAGAAGGAAAAGAAAAAGATGAGCTGAAGAGGAAAAGGAGGAGGCGGAGATCAGGGAGAGGAGCACGCGGAGCACCAGAAGTAGGAAGAGGAGGAGGAGGAGGAGGAGGAGGAGGAGGAAGAGGAAGAGGAGCAGCAGCAGCAGCCAGAGCAGGAGCAGGAGGAAGTGCCCCTCCACTCCCCTTCGCCGCCTGGAGCGCCCCGGCCGGGGCAAGCCGCACCGCCTGGGATGTCGCTGGACTGTCTGCAGACAGAGGTGGGCCGCGTGTTCGTGGCTGGCAGCGGGTTCCTGGCGGACGCCGGCGACGGGCCAGGGGGGTTGGGGCGGTCAAGAGTCGGGGGTTCGTAGAGGGAGGGTTATCCCAAGGTGGGGCTGGGGAACGGGCCCAGCTGGATGCTCCCGTTCAACGCGCTCCCTTCTTCCAGGGGCCGTTCGGAGCGAGTTTCCTTCCAACCCCACCTTTGCCCTAACCCCACCTTTGTGCCCCCCCGAAAGATGGGGGTGATGACTGGGGGGCGGTGGATATCATGGCGGGGGCGGCAAGGACCCAGGCCTCCTCGCGCCGTGACAACATCACGACGGGAGATGTTTCGCCACTTTCGGCCTCTGGGTGCCTTTCCCGGGCCTCGGGGCCGTCAAAAAACGATTCAGGACAAAAAGCTGGTCCCGGGGAGGGGGTCCAGACCTCTGGGGGTCGACGTTATGAGAAAATCATCAAGACGTAGGGGATCCAGGGAGGGGGGTGTTGACCAGGGGGAGGGTGGATATCATGGCGGGGGCCATGATATCTCCCCAGATTTCATGGCGCCTTTTCTCATTTCAACACGTCCCAGGTCCCCCCTGGGCCGCGCACATGCCGCCGGCCATGATTTGCGCCCCCCCACCCCCACCCCTCTTGGACGCCCCCTCTTGGCGGCCCCCGAAAGAAGGTTGGGGCGGCCATTCTTGGCCATTTTGCATCTGTTTTGTTTCGCCAATGTTGGGATTATGTAGACCTCGAGGGATACTCCCAAGCCCTCCAGGTATGCGCGCAGACCTCGAGGAGGTCTCCATATCTCTGATGTCCTCCGGAGGTCCTACAGAGACCTCTTGGGACCTCTGGGAACTGCTTGACTTCTAGGATTTGGGCGTGTTTCGCTCCTTTTGGTGCCTCCTCGTGGCAGGAGGAGAAGCTCGAAAAGTTGGCCAGGAGGGAGCCCTAGAGGAGTCCCAGGGCTTCAGTTTCGAGCGGATTTGGGTTGGGGGTACGGGCGTGAGGGGCGACCTTCTACGAAAGCAGGGGGCTTCTTAGAAGCTTTCCTTTTTAGATGCCCCAGGGCACTTGTAGGAAGCCCCCTGCGATCTTATGACGCCGCACGCCTCGCCCCACCACCCATTGGGCGCCGCCAAGGACGGCTACGACCTCTACATCATCGGCGAGGTGGAGAAGGTCATCGAGGCGAAGTATGCATGTGGCGGGTCGACTGACGCAGACGACTGCATAACGGAGGAGGACTTCAAGGGGTTCCTCGCAATGCTTTCGTCCGCCGCTCTCTGGGGAGCGATCGCAGGACAGATCATTTTTGGAGTTTTGGCGGACCGGATTGGGCGCAGGAACATTTTCATCGTGACTGGCAGCCTTCTCGTCTTTGGCGCTGTGCTCTCTGCGAGCTGCCAGACGTTTGGGCAGGGGCCTCGCTTCATGCTTTACCAGCTCGTCGTTTTCCGTGGCATTCTCGGCTTCGGCATCGGCGGCGAGTACCCGCTGTCGGCCACCATCTGCGCAGAGGGCACAGCACCGCGCAAGCGAGCGACGATGATGTCATTGGTCTTCGCGAACCAGGGGTTAGGGTATCCAACTGCCTGCGGTGAACCCTGCTACAACCCCCCCCTCTATCGTGGACCACCCTCCTAACGTAACCTGGATCTTGGTGACACCGAGCCCGGCCCACGCGGAATGGGCGTGACACTTGCATTCTGAGGACACGTTGTCTCGGAATGATGCTCTGGCTTGTGCGTGGGCCACATTTCTGATAAAAAAATGTTGCCACATTAGGGGGGGGCTTGTACCGCCGCGCCGCGAGAGGGATGGAGCCTGGGGCTGGCTGGCCGAGGCCGCGACATGTGAGGGAGGGTGCAGACAATGGGCGGGGCGGCGCCTGCGAGCCCTCCCACCGGGGCCCCTGGTGGAGCTCCATGTGGGCCACAGCACGCGCGAGGGGTGTGCTGAAATAATATGGGCCGGGCGGCGCACATGGCCTTCACCCCTTGGGGTCCTCGGCGGACCTCCCTGTGGGACCGCGGAAAGTGTGACTGGTGTGCCGGAGTGGGCCGGTCGGCATACGCACCGTCGCGCCAGGGCATCCGGTGGAGCTCCACATAGAGCCAGGAAGCGTGTGAGGGGTGTGCCGACAGGAGCGGCGGTGACATGCGGACCCTCCCTCCCACAGGGGCCTTCGGTGGAACTGGTGGCATGCGGACTCTGCCGTTTGGGCTTGCTGTGGAGCTCCTTTTGGGGACCACGAAACGTGTGAGGGGTGTGCCAACATGGGCGCGGTCACGCATGCGATTCCTATCATTGGGGCTTTCGGTGGAGCGCAACCTGGTGGGGGGCACGAATCGTGTGAGTGGTGTGCCGAAATGGGCGTTGTCACACATACGATTCCTGATGATTCTTGCCACTGGGACCTCTCGAAAGAGTTCCTTATGCGGCCACAAAGCGTGTGAGGGGCGTGTCGACATTGGCGCGGTCACGCAGACGATCTGTACATTGGTGCCTTTGGTGGAGCTTCCTCTGGGGCCACGACACGTACGATGAGTATACCGGCATGGGCGCGGTCACGGATGCGATTCTTGCTACTGGGGCTTTCGGTGGAGCCCCTCGTGGGGCCACGAAACGCGTGAGGGGTGTGCCGACAAGAACACAGTTACGCGTGTGATTCTTGCCATTGGGGGCTCGGTGGAGCCCCCTTTATGAGGCCACGAAACCTATGAGGTTGTGCCGAATTGGGTTGGGTCACGCACCCGATTCTTGCCACTGGGGCCTTCGGTGCAGCTCCGTATGTGGCCACGACACGTGATGAAGATTGCCAGTTCCACCCACGCCTCTATGCCAACGTCGCGGCACACCGCCTGGGAAGTATCCAAGGGTTGTGCCGCCGCCTTCATAGGGGCGCTTGCAGTTCCTCCAACGCAGCCCCGAGGCCTGCGGAACGCTCTGGCCAAGCGACTGGCAGCAACTCTCCAGGGCTGGCCAAATCTTGCCACGCGTCGCACGGCCACAACTGGCTCAGCTCGCCCAGCGCCCCGCCCAGCCTCAAGGCGCGCTATGAGGACGACCCCAAGTTGCGCGACCGATCCCCCGCCAGAGAGCTGCTGCGCCAAAAGCTACCGAGCAGCCCGCAAATCGCAGGGCAGCGCCCTCGCTCCGCGTCCAAGGTCCAGCCTGTCGATGAAACCCTTCGCGAAGTCGACCGTGCCGACCCAAAGTCGCCTGCCGAGCAACGCCGCGCGCTCCGCAGCTTCTGCGCCTCAGTGTCCACCACTCTCAGCCCAGTTGGACCGTGGGATCCCAAGATTCGCGGCACCTGCTCCCACGTATGTTTGGAATCGCTCGGACGTGTGCATGTTTCTTCGGCGAGGGACATCGAGGAACATCCTGGGTCACCTTGCGAAAAATACACGCGCGAAACGGGGAATGGACGTCCGAGCCACGGCGAGTATGCGGAACAGTCGGCGCGGCTCCAGCCTGCCAAACCACTCTCACGAGAAGATGGCGCCAGACGGCGTGCAGCTCGAGCCTGCGGTGCCCGCCACCTCGGCGACCCACGGCCGCTTCCGGGGCCTCTCAGAGGCAGGGTCGATGGAGGCAGACCCCGGGCCTGGTTCAGAAGCCTTGAGTGCCACGACCGGCGGTACGCGGCGATCTGCCCGCGGTTCGTCACCCGTGCAGGCGACGCCCTGCCAGCGCGGCCGAAACTCGGCCTGCTGGGAGCGCCCGGACACTGAGCTGCCGCGCGGGCACCCCCACGGCTCTCCACGGGACATGGCATTCCGCGCCGCAGGGCGGCCTTCCCGCAGCGGCGACGCGTCGCGGCCCGCCGCGGCTGCCCCGCCACGCACGGCTCCGCGACCTCCCTTCCCTTTGCCTTTGAGCCCGGGGGGCCCGCCACGCGTTCCTGCTCCGGGGAGGGCTCTGCGTGCGGCTCCGCTCACGGGGCCGGTTCTTGCCGGCGTGCGCCCGCGGATCGCGGTCCTCCTCGCGCCGCGCGCCCTGGAGATCCCCGCGATCGCAGGTCCCCACGGGGCTCGGCGGAAGGAGTGCGAGCCACCGCGCGGTCACCCAGGTGCCCTCCTCGATGTTCATGTCGATCGCCTTGACGCGCTGGGCCACAATGCTTTCAAGAGCGCCGAAGGGTTTGTAGCAAAAGGGTCCAGAGCAAATCGGGGAGCCCAGCAGCGCAACGATTGTCACACCATTTTTCAAACATACTCCTAGCGGGCTGGACGGCATCGCCACTGCTCGAGACAGGACGCTATGCTCTCGCGGCCACAGGGACTGCATGCGAACGCGCTGAGTCAATGATCTCTCAGCTTGCAGAATGGAACTTATTGCGAACAGATGCCATGTGCCGTTCGACGCGCAGGCAAACTTGCACGGTTGAGTTCGTCGAATCTGGCGGCCGACACAGTTGCAACTCTGGACCGGCCAAACGGCTGCAGCATCAAGAGGTTACCGGCTCGAGAGGCTACCGGCCAAACCGTTGCACACAGACAATTGCGCCACATGTTAAGTGTTCCGCAGAGGCGCCATCCCGAGGAGCGCAATCACTTGTCATGCGGCAATGGCGTGCCAAAAGTCCCCAGGCAAACGCATTGCACAAACGATTGCGCTGCAACTAAGCAAGCGACAAACCATCGCACTGCAGCAGCAACTGCGTTGCAACCGTTCTGGCCTACAGCGATTGAAATTCACTTGTTCGTGACCTTACCTTCAGACTGACCTGCTGCTTCGACCCAGTCCAGTCCATGGGAGTGACTCAGCGCCAACACTGCTTGTGCACTCCATTATCGCCTTCCTCCTTCGCTGCTGCAGAAAATCAAACTGAACTCGCAGTTTATGACAGAAGTACCATAGAGCGCTTCTCTCGCGGGTCTCCCAGCCCTTTGGTAAGACTTTATCCACGCTGTTCAAACATGTCCAGCGCCATGAATACCCTTCCCCTGGAGGAGCGCCTCGACAATCGCACATCGACGACAGCCGCGGCCAAAGACCCGGTGGACAGATGACATTGCGAAATACACGAACAATTCAGATTGGTTCCAAGTTGCTACAACAGCCGCGTGGGAGACCCGCGAGGCCGGATTTCTTTCATTCGACAGAGTGTGAGGAGGTTACCGCCATAGTTTTCCTTGCTTGCGTTGCGTCTTTCCTCCTCCAACATTTAGATGGCACACATTTTTGTTCACTTTGCATCGCAGACGTGCGGGCGAACTGCAATTTATCCACAGCAAGGCGTGTATAGTTCGCCTTCCGGGGCGCTCTGGCCCTCAACCCGCTTAGTCCCCTCGCGTGGACTCCTGCGCGCGGGCTCTGTATGTCTGTCTGGAGGAGCGCCTCGACGATCGCGGCGATCGTCTGGAGCTCCCGGGCATTGCGGAGCCCGGCGGTTGCCTCGGCAGGAGCCCCGAAGAAGCTCGCGACGAGGTGGTCACGCAACGCATCGGGCAGCGGAGCCCCGCCCGGCAGGTCCTCCATGGCGGACCCGCGCACGTGGCCCTCCATGCGCCGTATAGGGCTTGGTGCGTGGGCACGCCCAGCAGGCGCGCCGCCACGACCGCGGTCGCCGCCCCAGCGGCCCTCTGTGCGACCGCGCCCCCCGAGCCCTAGCAAGCCGCGCCTGCGTCCCCGCCGCCTTCGCCTCCGGCGGCTCCGTGGAGGCGCTCGACGAGCTCCGTTTGCGGAGACGCCACGGCGGCACGGGCCTCTGTGAGGGTGGGGGGGGGGGGGGCTGCCCGCGCCGCAGCCGCGCCTCGCTGGCGATCCCGAGTCGCTCGCAGCCTCCGTCGCAAGTCGTCGGCGCGGGGCGCTCCCGACGCCGCTCCCGCAGACGGAAGAGCAGTGGGCTGGCGAGGGCGCCGCCGGCAGCTCCTGGCGGAGCAGGAGGGCGGTCGGTGCCTCGGGGCGTCTCCCCCAGGGCTGGCCGCCCCTCCCGCAGGCCCAGGAACGGCCGGGGCACTTGCGACTATGACCTTCCACGAGGGCGAAAAAGTAGCACTAAGTCGGGCCTGTCCCTACAGGAGGAATATTCAAAATAGTCAAGAAAAAAGTCTGGGGACGATGGTTTCTTATGTTTAGAGTGTTTGGGGGCATTTGGGGGGTATTTTTATATTTTTCGTCCTTCGCCTGTAGGGGGACATGCCCGACCTAAAAGTAGCACCATGACCTTGGCGTCTACATTCCTGTCGAGGTTTTAAGCCGTCCACATGGACATATCGGTCTGTAGGGCTATCTTCTAGCACTCTGAAGTTCAGGGGAGACCTTGAAGCTCGCCCGGAAGCCCCTGATCGGCGGCCCAGGTTGCAGCCGCAAGTGGGGCAACGTGCGTCCTCGCTGCGGGCCGCGGGCGAACGACGAACGACCGCCGCTGGACATCGCTGCGCCTCGCTGGCATGTCCCAGTTTCTGGAAGCGGGCCCGAAAATGTGCGCGCATCCTCTGCACGCCAAGATAATCACAGTTCACTTACGCTCCGCACCAGCACCCGGGGCGTACGCATGATGTATGATTTTGGGGGGGTCCTCTGCCCATTGGGCCGTTGCGGGAGCCCAGTGGGCCGTCGTGCGGCCACGCTGGGCCGTCTGTGAAGCGCCTTGGGGACCTCTTCCAGTCCTCATGGGGTTTTGTTGAGCTCTCTTGGGCCGTCTTGGGCCCTCTTGCGGCGCTTGCGAATGGACCAGACCAGCCGGGAATAGAGTTGTTGCGGGCCATGTCTATGTATGGGGGCATTGGTTCCCCAAACAGCTTGCACTTATGGAGTCGAGCTGGATGTCTTAAGAAAGTTTAGGAGCTCCCTTGGTTTTTGTCGCAAACGTTGGCGCCCGTGCCCGCTCGTAGGCGTCTAATGGGCGTCCCTTGCGCTGGGTGGGTTTCCCGAGGTTTCGCCTCGTTGGCGCCAGTGCCCGTTCGTGGGTGCTCCGCGCGCTTACTTCACGTAGCTTACACATCATAGCTTTACATCACATAGCTCGCATCACAGATCTTGCAATGCACAGCTCGCTCCACCTAGCTAACACCACATAGCTTACACGACACAGCTGACACCACATAGCTTACACGGGTTACCTTTTTGCACACACCGCAAACCTCACAAATGACACTGCACCGATCACACCAGATAGCTCACAGCATAGCTTACACAGCATGGCTTGCACTACACAACATGCACGGCACAGCTCACACCACGCCATATACCTCACACCACATAACTCTCACAGCATAGCTTGCACAGCGTAGTTTGCACCACATAGCTCACACAGCGAAGCTCACACAAAACACTGTTCACCTCCACAGTGCAATAAATCATTGTTAGTGGCCCACACTAGCTATCGTTGTATATTACTACATACTTCATAATAGCCTGAGGGTCGTCCAGGGGTGGGGCTTCCTGCAGGGGTCTTGGACAGTCCTGGGTTGTTTCGAGCTGTGGCCTGATCTCTCGGAAACCGCTTGGAGCGCGCCTGAGGGGATTTGCTTAGGTTTATATTGTTCCCTGGGGCATCACTGAAAATCTGCAGGCTGCTCATGCCTGTGTTACCTCCTGGGCGTCTCATGGATGATAACATCTTGGAAAGCCTCCTGGGTGGTGTCTCTTGGAAGCCTCTCGGGGCATTCTTGTCAGCATAGGACCTTCTCGGGTAGTTACACATCAAGAGGGAAAACACAGACAGAATAATCCCAGCAAATGTGGGAAAATGTGGGGAATCCTGGGTTTTGTGTCTATCTATTTGTGTGTAACACATGGATTAAGGCTGGAGGGAGGGGCGGGCCAGGGAGGAACCGTTGGCGATTTTCCGGTGTGAGGCGCCTCGACACGGGGGGGCGTCGCCATTGACGATGGCCCAGAGCCATTTTGACACTCCGACACGCCCTAGGGGTCGCGGTGGCGGATCTCTTGGCCGCGAGCATTATGGTTATATTGGCATACATGGAGGTGTCGCTAGAATTTTTCTGGCGTTTTCCGCTTGCTTTTGGGGCGATACTTCCAGGTATCTCGTTGTTCTTCCGCATGAAGATGCACGAAAGCGACGATTTCTCCAAGGTGCTGAAGTCCAGGGCCCACGGCGCCCGCGGTGTGGGCACTGCTTCAACTGCGTACCGGTATGCATGGCACGTCTTGGGGACCGCGGGCAATTGGTTATCTTCTTCCTCCTGCTCCTCAATCTTCTCCTCCTCCTCCTCTGCATCCCACTCCTGTATTCTCTTCCTCCATTATCTCTTCCTCATCACCACCTCCTCTCCGGTTCATCTTCGACATCGTTTTCTATGCGAATTCCCTCTTTAATGCCGACGTTCTCAGAGTGATTGACGTGGGGCCGGGTGGCCTCAAGTCGATGATGCTGAAAACCCTCGTGGTAGTATTGATCATGTTGCCTGGCTATTTCGTGGGTGTCGCTCTCATTAACAGGCTAGGCAGGAAGGCCACTCAGATTCAGGGATACTGCAACATGATCCTCTGGTTCGGAGTGTGTGGAATATTCTACTCCAGTCTCAAGGATATGCCTGGACTCTTCGTTATCCAGCTGCCTGCGGCAAGTCTGGCCGCTTTGCCTGCCAAGTGCTCGCGGAGGCAGCTGTTCGAGGGTCGACAGGAGGTTGCAACGTGTGAATCGAGCGGCGTTGAGGGCACAGCATGCGTCAACAGTTGGAGAAGCGGTCAGAACGCCGTCACATGTCATACCTCGGCCGTATGGAGCACTTCTTGGATCGTCGGAGGTTGTCCCGAGGTGGACTAGCGTCGAAGTGGACGAGTGCGATGTGGAGCATCATGATGGTGACGATGTTGAGGAGGAGCTCGTCTGGGGCTGTCTTGAGCTTCTGTGGGACAGTGTTTGGGTCCCTTGGGGCCATCTTGGGTCGTCTTGGGGCCCTCCTGTCTGTCTGGGATGTCTCTTGGGGGCCGTCTTGGGCTGTCGAGTGGCCCTCTAAGGCCATCTGCGGTCCCTCTCGAGGCCCTAAAGGGCCAGCTTGTGGCTTCCTCCCGGCCGCGGCGGGGCCCTCTTTGGCCGTCTTGAGGCTTTGTTGGAAGATTATTGGACCATGGGGGGGGCATCTTGGAGGCATCCAGAGCCGTCTGCGATTATCGGCCCCTTCCTTGTTTTGGTGAGGCTAAATCACGACTTGCCATGGAAAATGATTTTCCGCAGCCAAAATTTTCAGTGCGGCATCTTTCCAGATTCCTCACGGACTCGTGAGGAGCCTTGAGGATCCTGGAGGATTACTGGTGATTTCTGCGGATCCTTGAAAGATGCTTGAAGATCCTTGGGGATTCGTGATTTAACGGTTCGCATTTCCCCACCAGCCCATCCAGAGACGGATCGCCAGGCGAGTTGTTTTGATCGGGGAAGTGTAGAAGCGTGCAGTGCAACAACCACATTGGAAATGTTTTCTCGGAGGTCTTGGGGAGCAATCTTGGGGTTATTGGGGTCCTCGCGGAGCCTCTTGAGGCACTCTTGGGGCCTTATGGGGGATCTTCTGAGGGAGTCTTGTGGCCCTCTTGGGGCTCTTTGGGGGGAGTCTGGGAGGCCTCTTGGGGCCATATTGGCCCCCACTGTTCACAAATGGAGAGGGTTCTCAATTCGGGCCGCTCCTGGAGTGGGCGCTTTTAGGGCCTTATTGGAGCCCTCTTGGGCCTCTCGTAGGGCTCTCTTGGGCCGTCTTGGGAACATCTAGAGGCATCAAAATCCCATCGGAAACGAAAAAGCGAGAAGGCAAAACAATCACGTGTTGTCCTAAGGTGTTGGAGCAATTGGGCCCCTTTGGGGAGGTCCTTGGAGGGCTCGGAGGGCACTTGAAACCGTCTTGAGGCCTCTTGGATGTGCGTCGGAGGCTATCTTGAGCCATATTTAGCTATCTTGACCCATCTTAGAGGCCATCTTGCGCTCGCGGAGGCCCTCTTGGAGCCATCTGGGACCAAAAAGAACGCTTTCACACCTCGCGTCCTCCCTTTTCCAGGCCCAGGGGAGGGGGTAGGGGGAGGGGTCAAGACACCCTCCCCGCCCACAAGCTGTCCCGCTCACTCCCACCCGCCCTCCCAGCACATGAGTAGCACCCGGGCCTCAGGCGGTCGTCTATGGATGGGCAGCTACTGGGAACCAAGACAGACCCCGTGTGCGCGATGGGGCGAGGTGCGCCACGCGTGCCAGGCGCTCCAGGTGAGCCAGGCACCCCTGTGGCCCGAGCGTGCCAGGCACGCCTCGCGCGCCAGATGCGCCACGTGTTCTACGTGCGCCACGTGTGCCGCATAGTCCAGCCGCGCCAGGTGCGCCACGTCCGGAGCACGCGCAGAGTGTGCCAAGTGCGCACGCGCACGTGACAGCACACATCGGAAACATGCCTGCCCCCACCATCCTTGTCGAAGACCAGTGCACAAACGCAGTGGGGAGGCCATCATGGTGTCTGGTGGGCTTGCACACAGCAGACAATTTTGGAGCACCCCCGCGGCCACTGTCAAACACCAATGGAAAGTGATCGCGGGGTGGCAACGCACGATCGAGATTTAGCCGCGGAGTGCATGTTGTACTGTTTTTTGAATAAGGGCACGCCCGCCGCTTGTGTCCAAGAACAATACGAAGTGCCCGCGGGGCCCATGAGCATGACCCAAGATTTAGCCCCAAAATGTGCTTCGTACCGTTTCTCGACAGGGATGGGGGGGCTTCCCAGTGGTCTTGGTTGGCTGCCGGTCGCCTGAGAAAGGGGCGTTTGGTAATAGGAAACAGTGATAAACCCTTCCCCCGAGCAGGGGAAGGACGGATTTTGGCAGAGAGAAGAAACGGCTTCATCAAACCACTTACGCCCAGAGTGCTGTTGATGGTTGGATCGCTGCTCCCCTCCCTCCACCCCAGGAATTGATCAATTACTGGGGGTGCTAACAAAATATCGCTCGGTGGTCCTCCCTCCCTTTGGGAATACTTTTTAGCTTTGGCGCTACGGATAAGGAAGAGGGATTGATCATGGGTTCTCGCGGTTAGGTGAGGCTCCTTCTGCGACCACGAAACGTGTCCATGCCTTGGCAGTGGGGCTTTAGGTGGAGCTCCCCATGGGGCCACGACACGTTTGAGGGGTGCGCCGAAATTGTGTGGAGAAGGCATGAGGGCCCTGGCACCAGGGCCTTTGGTGGAGCTCCCCAGGGGACCGCGGGACGTGTGAGTGGTGCGCCGAAATTGAATGGAGAAGGCATGCGGGCGCCACCACTGGGGCCTTAGGTGGAGCTACCACTGGGGCCACGAAACGTGTGAGGGATGCGACGAAGTTGTCTGGTGAAGGCATGCGAGCCTTGGCACTCGGGCCTTAGATGGAGCTCCATATGTGGCCACGCAGCGTGTAAGGGGTGTGCCGAAATGGTGATGGTCGTATCAGCGATGATGATGCTCATGATGATGCTCATGATGATGATGATGATGATGATGATGATGATGATGATGATGATGATGATGATGGTGATGATGATGGTGATGATGATGATGATGATGATGATGATGATGATGATGATGATGGTGGTGGTGATGATGATGATGGTGATGGTGATGGTGATGGTGATGGTGATGGTGATGGTGATCGTGATGGTGATGATGGTGATGGTGGTGGTGGTGATGGTGATGGTGATGATAATGGTGATGGTGATGGTGATGATGATGGTGATGGTGATGATGATGGTGATGATGATGATGATGATGATGGTGGGGATGGGGAGGGGGATGGTGATGGTGATGGTGATGATGATGGTGACGATGATGATAATGACATTGACGATGGTGATGATCGATTTTGCTGATGGTCTTGATGATGATGATGATGACGGTGATGGTGATAGTGATGATGACGATAGTGATGATATTGATGTTACTGCTGGTGATGATGCTGATGATGGTGGTGGTGATGGTGGTGGCGATGATGATGGTGGTGGTGATGGTGACGGTGATGGTGATACTGACGGTGAGGATGACGCTGAGGATGAGGATGAGGCTGAGGTTGACGATGAGGATGAGGAGGATGAAGATGGTGGTGATGGCGATGGTGATGGTGATGGTGATCATGATTATGCTGATGATGATGGTTGCGATGATGATGGTGATGATTGTGATGATGGCGATGGTGGTGGTGATGATTGTGATAAGGATGATGGTGATACTGGTCCTGGTGGTGATGATGATGATGCTGGTGGTGATGCTTTTAATGACCATCGTGATGATGACGATAATGAGTACGAGGAGGAAAGGGAGGGCGGTGTCAATGGTGATGACGACGACGGTGGTGGTGATGATGCTGGTGGTGATGGTGATGATGGTGATGATGATGGTGTGGATGGGGATGATGATGCCGATTGTGATTGAAAGTGTGCGTGCGATCCCAGTGATAGCGACGATAACGATGTGTGACGATGATGGTGATGATGCTGGTGATAAGGACGATAATGCTGCTGCCGAAGATGATAACGACGATGAGAACGCGTGGTCGGCTGAAGCGGTGGAGGGGAGGAAGGAGGAAGCAAGGACGCGTGGCGATGCGTCTTCAAAACGATGACCAAAAACCACAGGATTGCTCGGAATATTTAGCCAGGCGAAGGACCCAACGATTTGCAGCTGCGAGTACCGCACGACAGGTGGAACTTCTTCACGCTTCGCGTATCCCCACCAGCTCACACCGCCCTCTGGACTTTTCTTTGCGGGCCGCGAATCGAAAAAAAATATCCCCACCAGCAAGGCATACTCCTGCACAAGTGGTTTATCCTTTGGCAGGCCCGGCCTTTCCACGACGTGGCCGTTCCGCTCTACGGCGCCGTCGCCCTGGAGTACGGCTTCCTGTACATGTGGTGCATCATTTGGCAGGTCCGTGTCTCCTCTTGGCAGGCGTTTCCCCCCTGGCGTTGCCAGCGACATGTGCTTCTTCCTCTGGTAGAGGTTCACGCTCGCGGACGCCATCGACGTCTTGCCCTTCTGCGATGGGCAGGTGGTGCACTCCTACCCGCAGTTCCCCCCTGGCGAGACACTGAGCACTGGTGGTTGTGACGTGGCCCCCGCGCGACGTTCATCCCTGTCGTTGATGGTGGTGGTTGCCAATCGGGATTCACGACCTGTCCACCATTGATTGGGTCAGGGACGGCTCGCCGGCGAGCACCTGGTGCTCCGTGAGTGAGGCATATTTCTTTTCCCCCCCTCGTTGTTCCTTCTTGTCGCCCTGCTCCGTGCCCGGCTTCCTGGTGCTGGCGCCATGTCGCCACGTGCGGCTGACTCTCGACAGGCGCTCTGCATCTCTTAGGCTCGTTGCCTCCGTCTGCCCGTTTTCCCAAAATTGTTCTGCATGTTGCATGTGCGGTCGGCTGTCGACAGTGACAGCTGGGTTCGCAAATTATCTGGCTCTGTGCCCCAGTCAGCCCAATTGACACGCCCTCTGGACTCTTCCTTGCGGGCCGCAGATCAAAAAAATATCCCCACCAGCGCAACTAGGTTACTCGTAGCCCGAGTTAAGTCTGCTGACGCTGTCGGCCTGTTGGGCTGCGGCCGCATCAAAAAAGTACCCCCGGTAGTCCGTGGCCCCCTCCCGCCCAAGCCTCGGCTCAAGCCGTCTCGGCTCGAGCACGCCCCTGGTCCAAATACGCGCCGAGCTCGGCCCTTGCTGCGATGGATCCCGGCGCCGCCCTGCGGCTGCGCCAATGCCTTGCCGCCGCCGCCCGCGACGGGCCGCCCAGCCTGGGCCTTTTCCTGGCCGCTGCTGCCTGCTGCTGCTGCTGCCGCCGCCGCCTCCCCCCCAGAGGCCTGCGCGCGGGAGGCGGCGGCCGGCGGCGGGCGGCGGCGGCGGCCCCGCCGCCAGCGCTGCTGGGGGCTGCGACTGCCCGCCGGGGCTCCCCAGCGCGGCCAACGCGAACGGCCGCTCCCCGCGGCGCGTCCACCGACGCGAGCTCAGCCAACGCCGCTGGCGCTGCTGGCTCGGGCTGCCCCGCCGCGGCCTCCGCCGCCAGCGCCGTCTGGGCGGTTGGCGCGGCCGGGGCGGCCAAGGCGGCCAACGCGCGCACCCCCGCCAGCGCCGCGGACGCTGCCGACGCCCTCGGGCGAGACGGCGCGGTCCGCGCTCGTTGGCCCGCGGCCCACGCCACCTGCACCACCGGCGCTGCCGACGCTCCCCGCGCCCGCGCTGCCGGTGCCAGCGTTGCGCCCGACGCAGCCGCCGCTGCCGCCAGTGCCTGCGCTGCTGCCACCGCGAGGGCTGCGCAGGCCTCCCTCTGGACGGCCGTTGCAGATCTAGCCCAGGCTGCTTGGCGCGCAGCGGACGCCGTCGCGAGCGCGCTCCCCGGGCACAGAGTGGACCCGCTTCGAGACAGTCGCAAAGCTGAGGGTGGCGTTTCGCTTGACGACTGTTGCAAATATGAAGGCGGCGTTCCGCTTGAAGACAGTCGCCAATCTGCGGATCTACTGGACTTCGTATCTCACCGCGCGGCCGTTAGCTGCAGCAGTCGCCATGGAGAGCTACAGACAGAACAGGCGGTCGCCAGCCACAGCTGGTCGGTCCTTCCCTCTCCTTCAGGCAGACAGGCGCTCCTCCAGCTCCTCACTTCGGTCACCGCCCCTGGGGCAGCGTCGCTGCGGAGGCTGCAGATGCGACCGAAAGCGCGCCCCGTCCTGGAAACGCCACCGCGGCGACACTTGGGGGCGTTGCTGAGGGCGCGCCCACGCTCGGGGACGTTCCTCGCAAAATAGAGAGTCAGGAGATCGCATCGGAAACTGCGGCCGCTTGCTGCAACTGTCGTCAAGGAGAGCTGCAGACCGAACGAGTGGTCGTCAGCCACAGCTCGCCGGCCCCTCCCGCTCTTGGAAACAGGCAGGCGGACACCCCTGCTGCCCCTCACTCCTATCAGCGCCTGTGGGGCAGCATCGCGGCGGAGGCTGGACATGCGTTCGAAAGCGCGCCCCCTCTTGGAGACAGTATCGCGGCGATAGTTGGGAGCGCTGCAGAGGACGCGCCCGCGCTCGGAGACGTTCCCCGCAAAATAGAGAGTCAGGAGTTCGCATCGGGACACGCGGCCGTTAGCTGCAACAGTCGTCAGGGAGAGCTCGAGAGCGAACACATGGTCGCCTGCCGCAGCGCGTCATTCCCCCCCCTCCTGGAGACCGGCGGGCGGACACCCATGCTGCCCCTCACTCCTATCAGCGCCTGTGGGCAGCAGCGCGGTGGAGGCCGGAAATGCTCTCGAACGCGCGACCCCCCCTGGAGACAGCACCGCGGCGACAGTCGGGAGCTCTGCTGACGGCGCGCCCGCGTTAGGAGACTTTCCTCACAAAATAGAGAGTCAGCATTTCGCATCTCAAAGTGCGGCTGTTAGCTGCAACGGCCCCCTGGGAGAGCTACAGACCGAACGCGCGGTCGTCGGCCGCAGCGCGTCGGCCCCCCCCCCCCCCTCCTGGAGACCGGCAAGCGGACACCCACGCTGCCCCTCACTCCTATCAGCGCCCCTGGGGCCGGGCAGCATCGCGGTGGAGGCTGGACATGCGTTCGAAAGAAATCGCGCCCCCTCCTGGAGACGGCATCGCGGCGACAATCGGGGCCGCTGCAGAGGGCGCGCCCGCGCTCGGAGACGGACCTCAGAAAATAGAGACCCAGGAGCTCGCATCGGAAAGCGCGGCCGTTTGCTGCAACTGTCGCCAGGAAGAGCCACAGACTGGACAGGTGGTCGTCTTCCACAGCGCGCTGGCCCCATTCTCTCCTCGAAATAGGCGGACGGCCCCCTGCCGCCCCTCACTCCTATCAGCGCCCCCGGGGCAGCGTCGGCGCGGAGGCAGGAAATGCGACCGAAAGCGCGCCCCCTCCTGGAAACATTGCCGCGGCGACAGTTGGGGGCGCCGCCGAGGGCGCGCCCGCGCTTGGAGACGCCCTTTACAAAATAGAGAGTCAGGAATTCGCATCTCAAAGTGCGGCCGTTAGCTGCAACAGCCCCCTGGGAGAGCTACAGACCGAACGCGCGGTCGTCAGCCACAGCGCGTCGGCGCCCCCCCCTCCTGGAGACCGGCAGGTGGACACCCATGCTGCCCCTCTCCCCTATCAGCGCCTGCGGGGCATCATCGCGGCGGAGGCTGGACATGCGTTCGAAAGCGCGCCCCCTCTTGGAGACAGCATCGCGGCGACAGTTGGGGGCGCTGCAGAGGGCGCGCCCGCGCTCGGAGACGGACCCCAGAAAATAGAGACTCGGGGGTTTGCATCGGAACGCGCGGCCGTTAGCTGCAACAGTCGTCTGGGAGAGCTACAGATTGAACAGGTGGTTACTGCTCATCACTCCTATCAGCGCCCCAGGGGCAGAGTCTTGGTGGGCGCCGAAGACGCGCCCGAAATGGCGCCCCTCCTGGAAACAATATCGCGGCGACAGCGCAGAGGGCGCGCCCGAGATCGGAGACCCTCTCTCCACGCAGAAAAGAGAGTCAGGAGCTCGTAGACCCAGGTGCGACCGTCAGCTGCAACAGTTTTCCGGGAGAGCCACAGACCGAGCAGGCGATTGCCACAAATAGCGCGCTGGGCAGGCAGTCGCCCCTACAGCTCCCCACTCCTATCAGCGCCCGTGGAACAGCGTCGTCGCGGAGGCCGACGGCGCGACCCAAAGTACGCCCATTCTTGGACGCAGCGTCGCGTCGGCATTCGGAAGCTCGACAGGCGGCACGCCCACGCGTGGACAACCGACCGACTGCGCGCCCGCCCGGGGAGACAACGGCGACACGGCAGCGGGGACCGCGACCGACAGCACGCCCACCAGCGCAGGATCTTCCCCATATAAGGAGGAGCCTTTCGCCACGACCTTTCTTTCTCATCCACGCCCGCGCGACAGCGTCGCGACCGCGAATGAAGGCGCGACTGACAGCGACCCAGGGCGCGCACGAGTGGATGGCGCGCCAGCCTCCTGGATGTGCGCGCGGGCAACCGACGGGCGCGTCTTCGCGATCGGCGCAGACGCTCCGGCCGACGCCCCCCAGGCCCCCACCCCCGTGGCTGACGGCCATGATGGGGCCCGCAACCTGGAGAGCCTGGGCTGTCGCACCTAGTTGAGGGCGAGACCCCGCGACGCCCCGCTGCGACCCCGCCCGCTGCCGGCCCCGGCGCATTCGAAGACCCCCCGCCGGGGGGCCACGGACCAGCCCTGCAGAGGCAGGACATCGAAGCCACCCGCCAGCTCATCGAGAGAAGTCCCATCGCGCCCATTCGCCCTCCTTCCCGCGTAGGTGAATCCACCCGATTGGGCGGCAAACCTCCGCCCCCCCCCACCCAGAAGGCGGGGCCGCGCAAGGGAAGGCGACTCACGTCCCGGCGACAGAAATGGCGTCGGAGAACGTGCATGCACCTGGAACAACCGACAGCACTCCCACATCTGGCGATAGTCTCGGAGGCGGCAGATGGGGGCGCGCCCGCGAGCGAGGGCGGGCACGGGCCCGAGGGCGAACGCCAGCGGAAGGGGCCTGTCCCCGCACACCTCAGTGCAACGTTCTTCTTTGCCTTAGATCTGGCCCCGGCCCGGCGGCCAACTGCGCGGCCCGCGCCAACCCACGCGGCCCCGCCAGGCGCCCCTGCCCCAGATGCCGCCGCGCCGCGCGACGCCATGTGCGGCTCTTGCGGCGGGCCCAACCGAACCGTCGCAAGCAGAGCTCGAGAGCCTCGTCAAGGACAGCGGGGCTGCCTCGCCGGAGGCCTGCGTCCAGAACGCGCGGCAGCGCAAACAACCGGGCCAGGGGCGAGCGCGACCGCGTAGAGAACCAGAGCAGCATGCGGAGCAGGCGCCGGAAGAGCCCGATGAGCGGGAGTTCCCCGCCGCTCACGGGGAGGGCGCGGAAGTGACGCCAGCGCAGGAGTTGGAGCACGTGCAGGAACAGGAACAGGCAACCGCCCACCGCCACACTCCCTTGGCTGCCACTCCTCGCCCTGGCCCCTCCCTATCTGGCAATGGCGCGAGCTCGAGCGCCGAGGAGCGACGGCAGCGCGGCCGGAACGCGCCCCCAGCGCGTCTGCCTGGCAGCGGGTGGACGCCCTGCCTGGCCTCCGCGAACGGCGACTTTCCAGTCTCCCCGCCGCCCCCAGGTCGAAACCTGGCCCCCAGCGACGCCGACCGCGCCGGCGGGTCTGGCAGACGGCAGACAACAGGCGGCGGACGCACCAGCACCAGCAGCAGCAGCAGCAGCAGCAGCAGCAGAAGCAGCAGCAGCCGCCGCGCCAAGGACCAGCCACTGACCACCCCGACACTGGACAGCAGCTGTATAAAGCTAAGATCGGCGGCATCCAGTTGGACCCCCCGGGGAGACCCCTGGCAAGACAATAAAGCAGCTTCAAGTCACCCTGGGGGCGATGTGCACAGGCGCTCGGCATGCGTTCGCCGAGCAGCACGCCATGCCCGGCACCAGCGGCGCGCTCGACCCGCTACGGCACGACCAGCAAATTTGCGTCAACTTCCTGTCCTCCCTCCGCAGCTAAGACTGCGATGCGCGGGTCATGAACGACGCGCTGGACCTCGGCGATGACTGGGCTCAGCTGAGGCAGCGGTACCTGGGTCGCAGTGACGGCGCGGGCAGGGGGCGCCAGGCGGCGAAGGGCCACGCCGGCAGCCGCGCACTTAGGAAGGGCAAGAAGCAGTGGAAGGTCGTCAGCTCTAGCTCTGCGGGCGCGCCCGCCTTTGTTTCACACTAGTCACCCGCCGCCCCGCCCTTGCTGCCTTCCCCCGCCCGCTTCCGTTTGCCTCTTGCGTTTCCTGTGGCCCTGTCCTCTTGCCGCTGCGCCTCGTTGGGCGCGTTCCGGAGGTGCCTGGATCGTCCTAGTCGGCCTCTGGGACGCCGTCTTCTTGTCGCCTCGCGTATCCTCACCAGCCAGTTCCTGGACGTCGAGCCCAGGTGCATGGGATTCCTGCTCGACTGGCGCAGATGCGGCTTCGTCGCCTACGCGATGGATCGGCTGCTGGGGCTCAAAGTCGGCTGGCCTGCCGCACGTGCGAGGCACATCGGGGCGTCCTCTGGCAAGGGTCCCATCAGTCAAGGGGTGGGGCTTTGTCTCCCTGCACCAGTCCCGGGATTCTTGGGAGAGGTGGTCCTGGCACGGTTCAGGGCAGTCCTGGCGCGACCATGGCTAGCATGACGGAGGCAAGTGAGGCAGACGGAACAGCGACGGCGCAGACCACGACGCCAAGCGGTCCAAGTGGACGTGGCCTTCCCGGCACAGTCGCTGGATGCGTCAGAAACGTCACCAGAACGCATGGTTGTTTGCCAGACACCAGACACCAGAAACTGTGGCCGTTTGCCACCGCAGTACCAACCCCCAGTTCTTGGCCGCACGTTCGGCGTAAGTGATTGTGTGGCCGTTAGCCACGTGCTTCCCTGGCGTTGCCCCCCCTCCTCTCCCCCCCTGCCGACCTGTTTCGGTCACAACACAGCGCCTGGCTCGCCCTTTCGCCTTCGAGGATCAGGCTCCATGGCGCTGTCAAATACCTGGAACGGTGCTTTTGCTGGGGCGAGGCACAGCGTGCCGTCACACGGCGTCGCCGCTTGTTGTAGGTGTGTTCACCCTGGCCTTCCCCGCACATGGTCGCAGCCCTGACCCGGCCCCCTCGTCAGCGGGCCTCGTGACGACCGGTGATGGTCCCGATACTGCGCCTGGCTTCGCCCCCCGCAATTGGCGATCAGGCTCCACGGCGCCGTCAATACCTGGCACGATGCTGCTTGTTGGGGCGGGGCGCTGCGTGCCACACGGCCCTGGCCGTTGACTGTAGCTGTTTTCACCCTGGCCTTCGTTCGGACGCGGACACAGCCTGGCTTGGCATCCCTGGCGAACTGGCCCCCTGGCCTTCTCCCGCACCCGGCCACAGCCTGGCCAGGTATCCCCGGTGAGTTGGTCCTTCCTCGTGACGTCGCTCGACTCACGCACTCTGTCCGTGTGCGTCTGGTGGTCTGTGCCGGCTTCTTTGAGCACGGTGTGGTTATTCTGGCGTCCCAGTGATTTGCACGTCGACCAGCTCCAGCTAGCATGCTTGCATGCTCCTGGCTTCTGGCCCCCCGTCACTGCCACAGCCTGGCCGTGTGTGCAGCCCCCTCGTCCCTTGCGCCAGGTGGCATTCATTCTGGCCCCGTTGAGTCTGGTGAGGCACCCTGGCGTTCAGGTGACTTGCGCGTTGACCAGCTCTGGCTAGAGTGCTGGTTTCTGGTCTCCAGACACCGCCACAGCCTGGCCGTGTCTGCCGCTGCCGCCGGTATGGTGGGACGCAGCCCTGGTGCAGCCTTCTTGGTCAGCCATGTGTGTTCGTCCCTGTCGGCCTGCAGCATAGCACGCTGGACTGCTTGCGCAGCCCCGCGCTTTGCCACATTCGGTGGCGCGTCTACCTCTGGCACCTGGTGCGACAAGGTTCAATTCGTCCTCTTCCCGGTGGTCTCGCCTCTGGGATGCCCGCATGCTGGCCGCCTGGCTTTCCTGGCAGCTTTCGCAGCCTGCCTTCAGCCCCCGGCGCCCCTCGGCTTCCCTCGGCGGCAGCCTCGGCAGCCGTGAATCCGCTGGGTAATGAGGTTTCGCCCGTAGCCCGGGTTGACCTTTGACGCCGCTGGCGCCCTCGCCTGCGGCTGCGACGAAAAAAAGTATCCCCACCAGCCCATTCAGCAGCCTTGCCCATGAGAGCTGACGGGAAAAGGGACGAAATGACACTTCTAGGGAAACAAAGCGAGCAACCAGGGTGAACCGAAAGATCTCTGGGAGCAAAGGGGTAGCCTTGGAAGGCATCTTCGGGCCATCATTGGGGGCCGCGTGGGGGCGAGGGGAAGAGGAGGAGGAGGAGGAGGAGGAGGAGCGAGGAAGAGACACGCATAGTCAAACAACGAGGGGGGCCTGGGAGGCTCCGTGTCCATCTCGAGCCGCCTTGGAGTGGTCTCGGGGCAGTTTGGAGCACTCTGGGAGCCATATTGAGCCAGATTGGGCTATCTGAGCCATCGTGGAGGTCATCTTGGGCTCTCTGAGGCCGCTCGGGGGCCTCTTGGGGGCTTCTCGGGTGCCTCTTGGATGTTTCTTGGGGCTTTGGGGGGCGCTCTTTGGGCCCTCTCGGGGGCCTCCTGGGAGCCCTGGAGTGTCTCTTGGGGCGATCTTGGGAGGTTATCGATCAACAAAGGGGTGTTCCTTTATGTTGCCCCCCCCCCTCGGGGGCCACGATCCTCGTGAGGGGTGCCAAAAATGTGCCCACCCAGGGGCCGAAAAAGGACCCTATGCCACCTCGCGCAGCGCCCTGTCCAGGTCCAGGAGAGAGGGTAGGGGGAGGGGTAAACCCCTCCCCGAAGGGGAAGAGGTGTTTCTGGAAGAGGAAGGAAATAGTATTGTTAGACCACCTGTCGCCCAGAGGGCTGGTGGCACTGACGGAAGAGGCTAGCACAAGGATGAGGGCGTTCGTGGCAAGGACGGAGCGACGCCGCTGATGGGGCCGCAGAGGTCGGCCGCAGCGGGTTGCAATTGGGTGGGGTACATTACTGGTGGTTTGTGGGTTTGTCGGCGCGGCCTTTGGGGGGCGGCGTGCGGCGGGGTTGTCGGTGGAATTCTTTCTGGGTCCACGGAACGTGTGAGGAGCGCGCCGAAAAGGGCGCGGCCACGCATGCGAGTATTGTCATTGGGGCTTTAGGTGTGGTTCCATTTGTGGCCACGAAACGTGCAAGGAGTGCGTCGAAATGGCGTGGAGAAAGCATGCGAACGCGGCCATTGAGGTTGTGGAGAAAGTATGCGAGTGCAGCCATTGGGGCATCAGTTGGAGCTCTTTATGGGGCCACGAAGCGTGTGAGGGGTGCGCAGAAATGATATGGGGAAAGCATATGAACGCGGCCATTGGAGCATCAGGTGGAGCTCTCTGCGGGTCTACGAAACGTGTGAAGGGTAGGTGGAGTTCCCTGTGGGGCCACGAAACATGTGAGGTGCGCCGAGATGGCGTGGAGAAAGCATGCGAACGCGGCCATTGGGGCTGGGGCATCAGGTGGAGATCCTTATGGGGCCACGAAACGTGTGAGGGGTGTGCCGAATTGGCGTAAAGAAAGCATACGAACGCGGCCATTGGGGCATCAGGTGGAGCTCCATTTGGGGCCACGGAATGGGTGAGAGGTGCGCCGAAATGGCGTGGGGAAAGCATGCGAATGCGGCCATTCTTGCCTTTGGGGCCACGAATCGTGCGAGGTGCGCCATGGACCAGACATGCGAACGGAGCCGCTGGGGCCTCAGGTTGAGCTCCCTGTGGGGCCACGGAACGTGTAAGGGGTGTGCCGAAATGGCGTGGAGAAAGTATGCGAACGCAGCCATTGGGGCATCAGTTGGAGATCTTTATGCGGCCACGGAACGTGCGAGGGTGCGCCGAAATTGCGTGGAGAAAGCATGCGAACGCGGCCATTGGGCATCAGGGGGAGCTCCTTGTGGGGCCAAGGAACGTGTGAGGGGTGCGCCGACATGGTGCGGAGAAGGTATGCGAAGGCATCCATTGGTGCCGTAGGTGGAGGTCCTTGTGGGGCCGCGAAATGCGTGAGGGGCGCCGAAATTGCGTGGACCAGGCGTGCGAACGCATGCCATTGGGGCTTCAGGTTGAGCTCCCTGTGGGGCCACGGAACGTGTAAGGGGTGTGCCGAAATCGTGTGGAGAAAGTTTGCGAATGCAGCCATTGGGGCATCAGTTGGAGACCCTTTATGGGGCCACAAAACTTGTGAGGGCGCCGAAATGGCGTGGAGACATCATGCGAACGCGGCCACTTGGGTATCAAGTGGAGCTTCTTGTGGGCCACCGAACGTGTGAGGGGATGCGCCAGAATGACGTGGAGATGGTATGTGGACCAGGATGATTGGGCTTTAGGTGGAAACCCCATATGGGGCCACGAAACGTGTGAGGGGTGCACCGAAATGGCGTGGAGAAGGCATGCGGACCAGGATGGTTGGGCTGTTGGTGAAGCCCTCCATGGGGCAACGAAACGTGTGGAGGGCGCCCCGAAATTGCGCAGAGACTATATGCGGATCATGACGCTTGGGCTTTAGATGGAGCTCCTTGTGGGACCACGAAACGTGCGAGGGGAAGTGCCGAAGCAGAGACCACACAGGGCAGAGGCAAAGAAGGGGAGAGGGAGAGCGGGAGAAGGAAGGAGGAGTGAGACGTGGGGCGTTTCCATTTTTCAACGAGGACTCCAAACCATAGGGTGGTTGGCATATGCAAAATATGAGAAACATTGATTTGAGTTTCTTCTGGCTTCTGGGGGTCCTCTTGTGCCCCCCTCGGACGGTCTTGAAGGGCTCTTGAACCGGTTTTGAGGCCGTCTGAAGCAGCTCTGCGGCCATCGTGGGCCGTCATGGAGGCACATTTGGCCATATTTGGAGCCTCGGATTCCTGGCGCCGATCCGATGGATTTTGCGAGGGATCGTGGCCTGGGGGGATCGGACCAGTCGCTTGTTGCGTGGGCTCGTTGCCGTCGGGTCCACGCTTGTTTTTGTTCAACATGCAGGTGCGCCTTGCCCCGTGTGGGGCGCCGTCCCCGAGAAGTTTTCAAAAGTCCTTCAGGCTGCCCTTTTGGCATTCTACCCCGCCTCAGCGTGCCAGGGGGACACGGTGGCGGGTTATCTACGGGCTGACGTTCTTCTTCGCCAATTTTGGGCCAAATCTTACGACGTACGTAATTCCTGGAGAGATTTTCCCGTCTCAGGCCAAAGCCACCTTGCATGGCTGTTCGGCTGCAGCGGGGAAGCTCGGCGCCGCAATCGGATCCATGGTCATGCCCTTTGTGACAGGGCAGCCCGCGACGCCAGACGGCATCCGCTTGGCGATGCTCATCTGTTCAGGCCTTGCGATTGGTGGTTTGATACTCACCCTCTTCCTTACCCCGAGCTATGGCCCAGACGATCTCGAGCCGCAGGAAAGTGAAGAGACGGTCGGGTTCGTGCCCTTGTTCTTCCAGAGGAAGATGAAGCAGAGCGAATGGGATGCACTAGTGGACGACAGCTCCGAGGAGGAATCCGACTCCGACGGAGACAGTCGTTCCAGTTAGGCGTGAGCACGAGCGCATCCGCGGCAGGCGGTCCCGCGGTCGCTTGCAGCCGGGGCGTAACGAGCGGGCCGCTAGCCCACCTGCATGAGAGGCGTAGTCGAAACCGGGGCACGCCGCAGTTCCTTCTACGTCCCCATGTTGTTTTGCTCCCCTCCCATCCCTCTTCCCTCCATCCCCCGTCCTACCTGATCCTTCGTACGTCCCAGTTCTCCCTGCTCTTGCACCCTCTCCTCCTCCCTCCTTCTCGAGAGGTTTCCCAGTGCTCAAGCGTGGCCTGTGCTGCAGTAGAGCTCCAAGGGCTCTGGAGATCTGAGCTGTCAGGTCGCGAGGAAAGCGTGCCGCCACGCCCGCGGCGACTGGACCCAAGGCTGCTCCGCGCCCCTTCAGTGGCACAGGCTGTCGGGTTGACATCCGCCCCCCCCCCCCCCCAGACGCTCTGCATCAAGGGTGGAAAAGCCGCCCCGACCCCGGGCAACTGGCGTTGACCAAACGGCCCTGGACGTTTACGAAGCGGCCTTGCCCCGCTCGATTCCTTCTCTGGTTGCGTCTGCGAAACGCCTTTTGCTTGTCGTGGTGCTCTTTGCGAGGGTGCTTGCTCCTGCTCCCTGCTGCGGCCTTCCGCAGGCGGGCCCGAGCCGGGCTGCGACCGCCGCGTAGTTACCCTTTGTCACGGCCCGCCGTTCCAGCCGGCGCCCAGCGTGACGCCTACGAGTGCTGCACATTCACGTTTCCGCCGCAGCGCGCCTCATCCTCCTCATCCGCTCCTTTCTAAACAACTCCTCCCTGTCCCATCTTCTCCCTCCATATATGTTTATAGATGTTATGTATGTATACATGTATGTGTATAGATTCTCAGCCGCACTTCTCTTAGGGAGTAGAGCTCAGAGGCGATCAGTTGAAGACCGCGCTGCGTCCGCGATTTTTCTGGCCGTTTCGCTAGGGGCATCCTCGACATTCTGAAAATCGGTGGCATCCCTCACACAGATCGTGACGTCAGGGTCCAAAAACACATTAGAATTTCAACATTCTAACGTAAAACTTTCAAAAACATAATGTAAGTTCAATGATTTTGACCCCGATTCTCAAAGAATGGCGGTTTCGCCTGAGACATCCTCCGAAAATCGAGCCCCGACGTACCTTCTGGTACCCCAGGCCCCGCCTCGGAGCCTCCTGGGGGCCTCTTGGAACCTCCTGGGGCCTCCTGGGGCCTCCTTGGGCCTCCTGCTGCCTCCTGGAGCCTCTTGGGGCCTCCTGGAGCCTCCTGGGTCTCCTGGGGCCTCAGAATTATATGCAACACTAATCGCACCCAACACATCACACGCTAGACAGACAGAACACACACAACACGTCAGGGTCCAAAAACGCATAGGAATGTCAATATTTAAACATAAGACCTTGAAACAACACAATGTAATTTCAATGATTTTGAGCCCGACTCCCCAAGAGTGGCAGTTTCGACTGAGACATCCTCGCAAAATGAGCCTTTTGCAGCCTCTTGGTCGGGCCTCCTGGAGACTCTTGCGGCTTCCATGGACATCCTCGCAACTCCGAGCCCAGACGTACTCTCCTTCGGCCTCTTGGAGCCTCTTGCGGCCTCCTGGTCGGGCCTCCTGAGACCTCCATGGACATCCTCGCAACCTCGATCCGTGTGGCAACCCCGCTTGCGCTCGAGTGCGACCCCGCGGCGCCGCGCCAGTTTCCCCTTTTCCATCCCCGATCCCGCCGTCATGGTGTCTTCCTGCTCCAAACGACATTTCAGTTTGTTGTAAGTGCCATTTGTGTATATATATAGCGGTGAATATCTAAAGGTAAAAATATACATATGTAACTCCTCCCTGTCGCACCCCGAGGCCCGTCGAAAGAGCGGGGCGGGCGTTTCGCGCGAGATTTGTTCACCCTTTATGACCCTGGAACTGAAAAAATGGCAACAGCTTCACAGATGGAGGACGGGTCGCTTCCAAAATGTGGCTCTCGCCTCGGCGCCTCGCACACTCGTGCTTAATATTTGCCAGCGCTTCCAGGACTGAGTGGTTCTCGCTTTAGCGCCGCGCACATGTTTCAACGATTTGTCACAGTTTCACGGATTGAGGGCGGTTGGTTTTCTAAATGTTGTTCTCGCTTTAGCGCCGCGCACATTTGTTTTAAACATTTACCAGATTTTCACGGATTGAGGGCGGTTGGTTTTCAAAATCTTGTTTTCGCCTGAGCGCCTCGCACACCCGTTTTAACAAGGTACAAGGGTTCTATGGACTCACATGGTCAACGTCCCAGACATGGCGTTTGGGAAGGTTTCTGGATTGTGAGGGCGCAAAAGGTTACGTTGATCCGCGGTGTTGCAGCCCCAGGAAGGTTGATCCGTGGCGTGGGAGTCCCAACGATTGTGTTTTGGCACATGTCTTGGTCTCCTCCTCCTCCTCCTCCTCTTCCTCCTCCTCCTCCTCTTCTCCTCCTCCTCCTCCTCCTCCTCCTCCTCCTCCTCCCCGTCCTCCTCCTCCTCCTCCACCTCCTCATTCCGTCCTCCTCCTCCTCCACCTCCTCCTCCTCCTCCTCCTCCTCCTCATCCGCCCCCCCCCCTCCCCCTCACCCTCTCCCGACGCCCCCGCGGGCCCTCAACATTTACGTCTTCGGCAATACTCGCCGCAGCGCGCGTTGCCCTGGCGAAGCCCAGCGTCCAACCATGAGGCATGAACCGGGGTTGCAGGTTTTTGCGTTGTGGCCTGCCTTCGGCGGCACTGGATGTCGGGTTGCACTCAGCTTTCTGAAGCGCCCTGCAGTCTTCCGCAGGCCGCCTGGGGAGCGCATAGGGAGCGCGGCAGCACCTGGAGCGGCAGCGAACGCCTGGGAGCGCCTTGGAACGCGCTGGGGGAACGCTTGGGCGTGGGAGCGCCTGGGGAGCGCTTGAAGCGCTTTGAAGCGCCTGCGGGCGCTTGGGAGCGCTGGCGGAGCGCTTTCCTCCGCCCGGGAGAGCGCTGGCTCCCTTGGGAGCGTTCTCCCAGGTCCGTAGAGCGAGCTGGAGTTTTGAGAGCTCGCGGGAGGGCGCCCCGAGAGCACCCGGTATCGCCAGGGAGCTTCCACAGGGGAGCCGGGGCAGGAGCTCCCCGGGGAGCTCCCTCGCTAGTATTAGATTGTGCCAGATGCGCGTATGCGCTCGCTGCCACCTGGGAATTTGTCGGTTAGTCGGGCTTCAGTCGCGCGCGCGCGTCCCCCAGCGATTGCCGCGCTCTCACCTTTTGTCGTTGCGCACCGCGCAGGCTCTCCACGACGAAACGTCTGCCGATTGTAATGCTAATTTGGATATGCCCTCAGCAGCGCGACCAGGAGCTCCAGGGCAGTGCACAGAGGTTGGTTTTGGCCTCGGCAGCGTAGATGTTTCGATATAGAGCGCTCCCAGAAGGCCAGCACCACATTTGGGGCGGCGGGTTCCGAATCAACAGACCTTGAGCTTGAAATCACAGATTTCGCGACCTTGAATCACAGACCGCGAATCGTGAATCACAGATTCCTGGAGTTTGAATCACAGATTCTGGCACATGATCCACATATTTCAAGTTTATAATTTACACATTCCAAGAACACCGGATCTGGAGTCACAGATTCCGCAGCTTTCTTTTAATCACAACCGCCGTGATGTTGGGCGAGGTGGCGGCTAAACACGAAATTGAGAGTGCGACGGGACCCAAGGAGTGTTCACCTAATATGATTGGTAACGAAGGAAGCTCTAGAATTGAAAATCCACAGTTTGCAGCGTGTCTCGCGGTATCTGCAACATTTCGACTATACGGGAATGGTTGGCGAATTCGATATGTCAGGGATGTTTCCTATATAATCCCGCTCCGGTTTTTGCAAAATTGAGTGCCGTATCAATTCCAATGGTAATTCCGTTTTGATTTAATGCCGATATTCGTTTGTGTGTTTTGCCTCACGCAGCGCATTAGGTATTGACAGTTACGTTTTTGTTTTGCACGACGACTTCCCGACGACATTCTGCAAATTGCCTGGTTGGCGAATATGGTTTGACATTGTTGTAATTGCCGGTTCCCGTGACAATTCGCTTTCATTTATTGCAAGTCGTGACACACATATAAATATATATCCACATATATATATATATACATGTGTATATATATGTGTGAAAATATATGTATATACACACAAAAGGTTGTTCTGAACCAGAGACGGGCCAAGCGTAGCAACACAAACATAACGTATCATTCGATATGTCATTCTTGTAATCTACGACAGACATCTACATCCCCATCATATTTGTATGTATGTATACATCTTATATATACACAGTAAATTTGCATATATATATATATAATGCAGGCGTAGTTCTGCTTTACAAACTGCGACAGGAATTGCATAATCGGCGAATTAGTTTTGATGTTCATTGCAATTTCTTTTGCGAATACAGGCCGGAACTTGCAAAGCAAGCAAATGTGTTCAACGTTCTGCACGTTTCGGATATGTTCGATTTTGTCATACAAAGAAATTGTATTCATTTCAAGCGGCATGTTCGGTGATGATATTTCGGCTACGACTTCCATGGTTTTAGTTGGAATTCGACCAATAGATTGCAAGATCGGGAAGTAGTTCTTCAATATACTTAAATGGCCCGTTCGATTGGAATTTGTTTTCGGTTAGTCACATTATGTCTATTTTTTGTATCGCCTTATCTCACAAAGAATGTTTAATTTTTTGAATTCTGCACAATTAATATTCACAGCGATTTCCCGACTACGCATTGCGAAATGTATGAATATACGCATGTATGTGAAAATGAATGAAGCCAATTGGTATTGAGCCACATACGGAATAAGTAATGGCAAACGGCAATATTAGCAGTTACGTCGTGTGATTTGGGTTGGAGAATGTATGCGTTTCGTTTGCCGAATTGATTCCCCTTTTCGGGGTGCACCTTATCCTCGCCACAACTTTTCTCCTTTTTGATGTTGGCGGCTGGCGGTAACGCGTGAACACGTCAAAATTGGTTTCCATGA